TTTCTCTCTCTCTCTCTCTCACACGCACACTCACACACACACATTTTCTCTTTCTCTATCTCATTTTCTCTCTCTCTCTCTCTCTCACACACACACGCACACACACACATTTTCTCTTTCTCTCTCTAATTTTCTTTCTCCCTCATTTTCTGATTTGCTCTCTCTCTCTCTCTCACACACACACATTTTCTCTTTCTCCCTCATTTTCTCTGATTTTCTCTTTCTCTTTCTTTTCTCTCTTTCTCTCTCTCATTTTCTCTCTCTCTCTCTCTCTCTCTGAGAGAGGGGGGGGCAGGGGCTGGGGAATTCTGGGAATTGAAGTCCACACATTTTAAAGTGGCCAGTTTTGAAAAGCATTGCTTTTAGAAAGGTTTTTAAGGCTGGGTTATCCTGAACTATGGTTTGCTTAACCATTGTACAAATCAAGGGCCTTCAAACTTGACAGCTTTAAGACTTTGTGGACTTCGACTCCCAGAATTCCTCCTCCAGTCAGGTTAGCTCAGGAATTCTGGGAGTTGGAGGCCCACAAGTCTTAACCCTTGCCAAGTTGGAAGGCCCTTGATTTGTACAATGGTTAAGCAAACCATAGTTCAGGATAACCCAGGCTTTTGCTATGCTAAATGCAGAATGCTAATGTTTCCCTCCCACCTCAACCACTGTTGCTTCTGGACCGCAGCGGAGCCCATCAAGCGCCTGTATGCCCGGCTCGGGGCCGCCACCGTGGTCTTGCCTTGCCCCGTCCCTGACGGGGGGTCCCAGGTGGTATGGAAAAACCACGTGACCCCGGAGAGCGTTTTGAACGGGGTGCAGAAAGACGGCAGCCTCATCTTGCGGAATGCCAGTTCGGCCCAGGAAGGGGAATACATCTGCCAGGATGCCGGCACTGGGCAGACCCTGGGAAGGATTCACCTCCAGCTGGGCTGTGAGTGAGAAAAACAAGGCCCAAACTCTCCCTTACCCAAATGGAGCCATCCGAGACTATGATGCTGCAGTTCCTTCCTTCCTTCCTTCCTTCCTTCCTTCCTTCCTTCCTTCCTTCCTTTCTCCCACTTTTTCCTTCCTTCTTGTCTCCCTCTTTTCTTTCCTGCCTTCCCTTCTCTCTTTTTTCTTCCTTCCTTCCTTCTTTCCTTCTTCCCTCCCTCCCTCCCATTTCTTTTTCCTTCTTCCATTCCTTCCTTCCTTCCCTTTCTCCCATCTGTCTGCTTTCCTTCCTTCCTCCTTCCTTTTCCTTC